AGTGAGAAATATTTGAAGTAGAGGCCCTATGTTTATGGGAAAGTTTATCATAAGACAAATATTTGGCAATGGGATGTTGGGTACAGGTTCGGATTCCTTTTCTAATAGCTATAGGGATATCAAGGTCTACAAGAACTTGGCTAGGTGACTCTGTACTATCAAAAATAGTAGGGACAATTGCAGACAAGTTAGGATTTAGAGTACCTTGAGTGTTCAGGGAGTCATTGCTTGGGACCTCTGATTGGCCTTACTGAGGTACAATAGTAGGCTCTCTACTCTTTTGATGAGTCTTTTTCCTGTTATAAACCAGAAGCTCAGGATTCGGTTTTTTTGGAACCGTTGGTAGTATTTCTCCCCCTGTTGGAGATACAGTAAGGCTCGGCAGATTAGGACTAGGAGGCCCCGGGTTTCTTGATTCTAGAACATCATTTCCCTGTTTAAAAAGATCAGTGTTTGGAGTAATAGAGTGTGAGACAATAGTTTTAGGTAAGGGAATATTAGTAGAAATCTCCCAAAAATTTTCTTCACTCTCTTTCTCCCCCCGAAGAAAAGTTTTCTGAAAATAAGGATGATTTTCTAGAAAAAGACATCCATACTGATAAACATTTTTTTTGTTTTCGGATTGAAGCATTTGTACCCCTTTTTATTCGGGGCATACCCAACAAATACACATTTTTCAGCCTGAGGATCCAATTTAGACCGAAGTCTACTAGGTAAATGGACAAAGACAGTGCACCCAAATACTTTCAAAGGCAGGTTGGAATAAATCCGAGTTTCAGGAAAAGATTTTTTAAGGCTTTCAAGGGGTGTAAAATAGTTAAGAACACGAGTAGGCATCCTGTTAATCAAATATGTTGCTGTTAAAACGACTTCACCCCACAAATACTTAGGAACATTCATTGAAAACATGATGGCACGAGAAACTTCAAGTAAATGTTTATTCTTTCTTTCAGCAATTCCATTTTGTTGGGGCGTGTCAACACAAGTGGATTGGTGAAAAATTCCTTTTTCTGTTAAAAAACTTCCTAAAACTTCATTAAAGTATTTGGTGCCGTTAACAGTATGAAGAATGCCAATTTTTGTTTGAAATTGATTTTCAATCATCATATAAAAATCCTTGAATAATTTTTCAACCTCAGATTTTTCATTCATTAAATACACCCAACACAAACGTGTATGATCATCAATAAAAGTTACAAACCATTTTTTTCTAGAAAGAGTTGTGATCCTAGAAGGGCCCCAAACATCGCTATGGATCAAATAAAATGGTTTTGATGTTTGGTAAGGTTTTGGAGAATACGTAGTACAATGACTCTTTGATAAAAAACAATTCTCACAATAAAAAGATGAACAATCCAATCCTTTAAACAAAGTAGGAAATAATCTTTTAAGATAAGGGAAAGATAGAATGAAAACTACTCAGACCTTGAGCCTTTTTATTACTTGAAATATCATCTTCAAAATAGTAGAGACCATTTATCATCTTAGCACTGCCAATCGTCTTCCCCAAGCTCTGGTCCTGAAATTCACAGTAGGATTCAAAAAAGATAACACGACAATTAGAGTCTTTGGACAATTTACTAACTGATAAAAGGTTATAAGCAAGCTTAGGGACATGAAGGACAAACTTAAGATCAATAATATTTGAAAGTTTTACCAAACCTTTGCCTGCAATAGGAGAATAAGAACCATCGGCTATTCTGATTTTTTCAGAGCCAGAACAGGGTGAATAAGTTTGAAATAAATGAGAGAAACTTTTCATATGGTCAGAAGCCCTTAAATCAATGATCCATGGGGTAACACTAGAATTTGAACGACAAGATAAGGCCTTCGGGTTGTTACCTGTTTGAGCAAGAGAAGCATTAGGAGTACCAAATGAGGAATTGAATCTCAGCAATTTTAGAAGATGATCCATCTGTTCTTTGCTGAAGGGAAGTGCCTCGGCTTCATGAGCTGATGGGGCTCGGTTGAATCTGCCTTCCTGGTTGAATCTGCCTTCCTACTTACTCTTCTAATTCGCTGGTTTACCATGAATTTTCCAGCAGGTTTCACGGGTATAGCGAGGCTTGTTGCAGTGGTCACACCAAAGACGGGGCTTTTCATTATGTTTCCTGCCAATATTCGCTTCAGATGCGACCAGGGCAGAGGTCTCAACAGCACCATTTGATAACTTTTTTCCAAGCATGACCAGCTTGCGACTTTCCTCTCTTCGAACCTTGGAGAAGACTTCACCAATTAAAGGCAGGGGCTGTCGTCCAATTATTCTGCCTCTCACTTCATCAAACTCGACATTGAGTCCAATGAGAAACTTTAAGATGCGGTTGGCTTCCACCTTCTTTTTGTAATGGTTGCAATCTTCAGGCGATTTCCACTCATAATCGCTGAACAAATCAAGGTCCTGCCACAAACGTTTTAGAGAGTTGAAATATTTTGTAACACTGTTATCTCCTTGACGGATCTCTTCGAGTTTCAGCGTTAGTTCATAGACTTGAGACTGATTTCCCAGGTCTGAATACATCTAGTTGACATTGTCCCAGAGTTCTTTTGCTGTGTGGTAACACATATTATTAGAACTGATGTCCTCCTCCATAGAATTCACCAACCAGGTCATCACCGTCGAATTCTCTGCATCCCAGGTTGAGTAGGATGGATCTTTAGGTTTCGGTTCCTTCTTTTCTCCTGTTAGGTAGCCGATTTTGCCTCTGCCTCGGATGTACATCCGCACGGACTGGGATCAGCGAAGGAAGTTTTCACCATTTAGCCGAATTGTGGTAATCTGGACCGAGTGTGTTTGAAAGTTTTGGACTTGGGACTCAAAGGTCTTGGTTTTGGACTCAGGTACATCATCAGACATGGTGATTAGGGTTGTTTGGAAGAGAGGAAAAAAAAAAAAAAAAAAAAGAAGACAGCTAGGGTTTTTTTTTCCAGAAGAATCGGTAAGATGCTCTGGTACCAAATAGGCGATTTCAAGATTGAAAAGAATCTGTAAATTGCCATATTTTGAATGGTTTACAATGCTTTAGTTAAATAGGAAATTATAGGGGCTAACAAAAGGAAACTACAGGCTGACTACATGCTGTAACAGCAGGCTGTAATTACAAGTTGTACACTAACAGAAGCTACAGGCTGTACACTAACAAAAATTCCTAATCTTAGTCATTGACTATCTATATTTACACACCTATCATATCCCCTAAAATCTGGTCTTATTAAAACTGAATATCTCTTTTTCAACACGCTTCCACTCCCTCACCACATCTACACTTTACTCGCAGAATTTTACTTTTGGGCAAATATTAGGGTTTGAGAGTGAGATATGAATGTTGTGAACTATAATGCTGGGCACTGTGTGTGTTTCACTGAACCCTAGGGTTTCTGGGACTCGCACGAACTAGAAGGTCTCCTATGTTACCTTATGAGTCTGACAATGGCGTCGTTGACAATTGGAGACCTAAGTCTAGAGAACTCGCCTCTATGTACATGTCTTCACTTCAATAACTTCAACAACTTTGTCCTTGGTTATCTCTTCCAATTCGTCTTCTTTAAGGCTAATCACGTTTTGGCCTAATACACCATTTAAAGCCGGCGAGCTTTCAGCAGCGACCAAGCTATTCAGCACTACGACAAGGAGTTTATGGATTTCATTTCAAGGAGAGTTGTTTTCACTTTCTGTTAGTAATGTGAAGCCGGTGAATAATTTAAGTAATGTGAGGAAAGGTACGCTAGAGAGGAGGAAGACAGCGATGGCGGTGACTCGGTGAGGGATCGGATGGCAAGTTTGGATTGTACTATTGAGAAGAAGATATTAGGTAGATCTGGGATTTTTTTGTTTTTTAAAGAATTTGACGTGGCCATGCCACGTAAGATTCAGGGAGTTTTCATGTGTTTTATGGGCCATGTAAAATTTGGGTAGTTTTCATGTGTTTTATTTCACATTCCCTATGATTACTCTACAAAGAATTTGTAACAACCCTCACCCTAGCCAAACACACTATTGTCCGCTTTTGGCTCCCCCGGATCAGAGACTTCCCAGGGGGTCACCCATCCTGGTACTACTCCAGGTTAAGCACGCTTAACTCTGGAGTTCTGGTGGGTTCACGGCCATCATGGCTTTAAAACGCATTGTGTCGTAGAAGGGTGTTGAATCTACATATAACACTTGCCTTATCCACACCCAAGCGATATGGGATTGTGCACCTGTAGCTCGCCCAATGTGGTAACCTACTAGTGCTACCTACACATACTCACACACTCCCGCCCACAGGGTCGCCACAATCAACCCCCCTTTGGGGCCCAATGTCCTCGTTGGCCACACTTTCGGCTGGGTTAGGCTCTGGTACCATTTGTAACAACCCTCACCCTAGCCAGACACAATATTGTCCGCTTTTGGCTCCCTCGGACCAGAGACTTCCTAGGGGGTCACCCATCCTGGTACTACTCTAGGTTAAGCACGCTTAACTCTAGAGTTTTGGTGGGTTCACGGCTATCACGACTTTAAAACGCGTCATAGAAGGGTGTTGAATCTACATATAGCATTGCCTCATCCACACCCTGGCGATGTGGGATTGGGCACCTGTAGCTCACCCAGTCTGGTAACCTACTGGTGCCACATGCACACACTCACACACACCCGCCCACAAGGCTGCCACAAAATTTTACCAATTTATGTTTCATTAAGCACAAGGGGTAGAGGGAGCCATAGAAGAAAAAAGAACCAAACTAGAAAGTTACAGCCTTAGAAAGCTCACCCCTACATTGGAGAAATCAAAATCAAAGCAAAATAGCTGAAATTAACATATCATAAACCACTCTTCTTGAAGGTCCTTTCAAATTAATAAAATATGATGATTTTCTATAGAGAGTTTAAGATAAAGATTTCCCCATAAAATGCTAAAGGCTATTTTTTATCAGCTGTTCCACATTTTCCATTTTCTTTTTCTGAACTTCTTATTTGTTTTAATTGGTTACGTATTAGAGTTGGGTCTGTTATTGTGTTACAGGTCTTGGCTTATGCACAACAGTCAAGAGAAAGTTCCAACTATGAGCAGGCAGCTCTAAATGGAAGGATGCAAGAGTACAAAAGGCATGTTGATCAAGAAAGTAGGCATTCGGTTAATGGGTCTCATGGTTCTCTAAATGGAGATGCTGTACAACCTGTCCCTAGAAGTTCTCATAAAGTGATAGAAGCGGTGATGCAATCCACGGCAGAAGGAAAGGTATTCGATGAGATGTTATTTTCCTCTCTTCCTAGGACATGATGGCTCTGTTCTTTTTATTTCTAGCATTTATTTTTTATTTTTCAAGAGCGATTTTGATTTTCATCTCTGTACCTAAGACTTCAGTAGTTTAGGTTCAAACCATTAAACAAGGATATCTCGCGAAACGTTCCTCCAATTTGAGGGGAGACTGGAAGAGAAGATTCTTTGTACTCGACAGTCGGGGGATGTTGTACTACTATCGCAAACAATGGAGCAGGTTATTTGTAAGTCATGGAAGATAAATTTGAATATTGGTGACCCTAATTCCTCCTTGTTACCTTGCTTAACATACCCTGAGTGTGTTGTTTTAGGGACCAGGCAGTCAACCATCTGTACGTAGGAATAATTCTTCGGAACCTGGTTCTGGACTGCTGAGTAGGTTGTTGTCCTCTCATCACCATGCTGGTGTGAATGACGAAAAATCTGTTGCCCGTCACACTGTGAACCTACTGACTTCAACAATTAAGGTTGACGCAGACCAGTCAGATTTGAGGTTCTGCTTCAGGATTATCTCACCAACCAAGATCTACACTTTGCAGGTATATTTACAAAGGTCAGCTTAAAAATTCAAATTATGAATTTAATGATCCTAAAACAGCTTATTATTGGCTTCTATATACTTGGTGGATAGTTTGGGGGATTGGTTCAATATATACCAGCATGGCACCATAGTTTTAATAAATATTCAGCAATTGCTTGGCAGTGCAGGCAGAAAGTGCACCGGATCGAATGGACTGGATTGAAAAAATTACAGGAGTTATTGCATCATTGTTGAATTCCCAGGCACCTGAGAGGGTAAATTGTTCATAATATCTCCATTACCATGTGGCATTTATTTTTGTTTTTATCTGTAATGACAATGGTCCAATTATATGTCAGTGTCTTTCCACTAGTTCCTCAAGAATTGTTAGTCATCACTCTGGCAGTGAGAGTAGTTCCATCGGAAGTCCCTCTTTTCTTGATCAAATGGAATTTGAAGAACATACTTCTGTTGACCTTGCTCCAAAATACTTTGTACGTGCATCTAGTAATTTGCACAGTTTGAAAGGTCAGAAGCCAGTTGATGCACTACAAAGAGTTCCTGGGAATGATCTATGTGCCGATTGTGGTGCGCCTGAACCAGACTGGGCTTCCCTAAACCTTGGCGTTCTTATCTGCATTGAATGTTCTGGTGTGCACCGTAATCTTGGTGTGCATATATCGAAGGTAAGTTTTCCACAGTTGATTTTCACAACTCTCGCTTTTGTTATCATGTTAGTATTTATAGGAAAATTTGGGGCTATACAATAGGCATTTAGACTTTTAGGTAAAACTCTTGGTGTGAGGCTTAAACCACCTGAAGCTGCTGATTTTAGAAAGACTTGTTATTAAGAGAAAATCTTCACTAGGATTTTTTTTTTTTTTTTTTTTTTTTTTTTTCTTTCCGTCTAGTGTGTGTGGATTAAATATACATGTCATCCAACTATCTTTAGAAAATAAATAGAAGAGAAATGTTTTGACACTCTGGATTTCATTCCATCAAGGATTGCTAACCCATTGACAACAGTGCCTTGGTATGGAACTTCCTTAATCTAATACAGAGTTCTACCATGAGAGGTCTAAACACATTGAAGTAGATTGCCATTTCATTCGATCTAAAGTTGACTCGAATGAGATTGTTACACCTTTTGTTCCTTCTGGCAGACAGCTGGCAGATATCTTCACTAAGGTGCTTCCCAAGAACTCTATTGATTTCATATGTAGCAAGCTGAGAGTTATTGACATTTACTCTCCAGCTTGAGGGGGAGTGTTGTACAGTATTGTATGAGTTGTCACACGTATACAGTTAGTATTGTATGAGTTGTCACGTACCCCTCATTACCATATATAGAATTACCATGTATAGGGTTTACCTGTTCTTCACTCACCTACTCTCGTAGCTTCTCCTATATAAACACCATTGTATTGTTGTATTACTTACTCAATGACATATATGTTTTCATATATTCTCTCTCTCTCTCTCTCTCTCTCTTTCAACAATTTTGTTAGATCTTCACCGTGGAATGTAGGCTTTACCGAACCACGTAAATCTGTGTCCTTTCTATGTGGCATGTTTACTTTTCTATTGTGATTCTTGATTTGTTCTCGGTTTGCAACATTTATCGTTACAGTGGGTTTAAAATACTCTTCAAACAATACACTGAAGGCAAGTTGAGGTTTACTTTGCTTTTCATCTTCATCTTGCCTCACTTCTGGTAAAAATAACAGTGTCATCTTCAGCATTCACTTGTGTTTCTACCGATGATCATGTTCTTTTTTTCTTTTTTTTTCATTGGCAAGAAACTCACGCACCCATTTGTCCCTACGGGGACGTGAACCCTTACCATCCCTTTTGGGATGTAGAGGAGATACCACTAGGCTACAATCTTTGGTATTGATGACCATGTTTGAAGTGTTAACAATTGCTACCAAGCAACTTGACACCCTTTTTCCTCTTGGTTGCAAACAATTCCTTGGTGGTGAGTATAAACTAGAAAAAAAAAAAGAAAAAAAACATAACACTCTTTCATATTCTCATTGTTGGAATCCTATCAAATTAATCTGAATCCGAGCATATAGCCTCCATTGCCCTAGACTTCTCTTTCTTTGTCTTATCTCTCTTCTTCTTTTTCTTATTGGGACAGTCACTAGCCATGTGATCTTTATAACCATAATTACAGGATTCAACTTCATTTTCTGACTTTCCTAATCTCTCTTTCTTCGAATTGCCTAGCTTAAGAAATTTTATAACCTTAGATTTCTTTAAGAATTTTTTAAACTTCCTAGCTAAAGGAGCAATTTTCCCATCAGTGTTGGAATTCTCATCCTTGTCTGCTACAGCCTTCAAGGGAATAGAATTATCTTTCTTAGCGGGGGAACCAATTAAGTTTTCTACCTTAAACGTATCGACATACTTACTTTCCTCAATAGTTGTATCTTTAAACTGACATCTATGCGGCAGTAATCTAAGGATCTTTCGAACTACTTTGTTCTTTAGAATTTTATCTCCTAGTACATAGGGACCATTAATTATGTCATTGAGTTTAGCATAGTCATCAAATATTTCATTATCTAACATTTTAAGACTTCCAAACTTTCTAATGAGCATTTGAAGTTTAGAGATCTCAACAGTTGTTCCTTCATACACTTTCTCTAGCAAACTCATTAGGTGACAACATTTTAAATAGCATTTAAACCTATAGAGTCAACAATTGCTTTTTCATATTCATTCTTTATCCATTCTTCACTAGTTTTGCGACTGACCTACACTCAATATCCTTAACTGGTTGTTCCCATCCATATTCTACTGCTAACCAGACTCAACTTAAGCAAGGCTCTCATCCTAACTGGTACCTTTATCTTAGTAGCTTTGGGTCTTAATTCCTAAGACTAGGTCAAGGGTTTGAGACTAGTAGAGAGAGACGAAAGGAAAAAAAAGGCCCTCATTATAACATTCCAATAGCTATAATTTGTTCCGAAAAATAATACAGGCCTAGATAAGAATCCAACTTCCTTAAGGCTATCCATGATCTACTGACTAAATTCAAGAAACCAACTCTGGTTCCAATTGGGAAATATATTAGATCGAACTTTAGGTTCTGATTAAAGCAGCTAAAGGCCTTGATCTAGCCCTAGAAGAAGGGGGGGTTATAGGCTAGTAATGTCCACTTGTGCGTGTAGATATGTTGTTGACGATCATTATGTCCAATAACTGATATTTCGACAACTGAATGATCCACTCACCATGATTGATGTATGATGATGAATGCTAAATCAAAATACTAGTAATCACAAGACTTCTAGGATGCTCATAGAGTAACAGTGTGAAAGCTCTAGTATAGTGTGCTTGTTTCTCTATTACGTTTTTCGAACAATTAGACTACTTATATAGAGAATAGAGATAGAATATAATCGGGTTTTAAGTAGATTAAAATTATTAAATGAAAATGGAAGCTCATAATTCGAATATAATCAGTGTTGAAATTCTCATCCTCGTCTACTACAGCCTTCAAGGGAATATAATTATCTTTCTTAGCGGGGGAAAACTTCAATCTGTTAACTTATATGATATCCACGATTTATGGAATGACTTACCATATTAGCAGAGATTTGATTATGCAATAGAATATGCCATAGAATATGCTTTAGAATATGTTGTGATATTTGATTTAGATTTGATTTACTTTCCTTTCTTGTAATATGAGCATGTGCTCTTTTAATCTATAAATACTAGAGCGGTGAATGAGTGATTCATCTCATTCAAGCCTTTACACAATTCTCTCATTTTTCTGCTATATTGTATTCTTACTTGGTATTAGAGCCAGGGTTGTCCGACTGCAATGAGGGTATTGAGAGTTCGGCACCCACCCATTCAGAAACGGTCTGAGGAGACAGTTGTTTCTTTTTTGTGGTCTGAGGAGACATAGTTGTTTCTTTTTTTGTGGTCTGAGGAGACATAGTTGTTTCTTTTTTATGGTCTGAGGAGACATTATTGATTCTTTCTTCTACATTGTTTAAACATATGTATAAGGGGGAATGGTCTGAGGAGACATTATTGATTCTTTCTTCTACATTGTTTAAACATATGTATAAGGGGGAATGGTCTGAGGAGACATTGTTGATTCTTCCATCTACATGTTTTAAACTTGTGAAGGGGAATGGTCTGAGGAGACATTATTGGTTGCTTACGGTCTGAGGAGATATATTGTTGTTTGTTTACGGTCTGAGGAGACGTGATTGGTTGTTTACGGTCTGAGGAGACATTTTTGGTTTGTTGATCGACATTTTTAACCTAGTCATATTTGCACTCTTCAACTGTAGATTCTGAAAAAGGGTGCTAGCAAGACCGTGTTTGAAGATGCGTTATCCAAGTTGGGCATCTCAGATATCCACGCACCAACTTGAGGGGGAGTGTTAGCATATATGATATCCACGATTTATGGAATGACTTACCATAATAGTAGAGTTTTGATTAGGCATATGTTAACATATATGATAGTCACGATTTATGGAATGACTGACCATATTAGCAGAGATTTGATTATGCTATAGAATATGCTTTAGAATATGTTGTGATTTGATTTAGATTTGATTTAGTTTCATTTCTTTTAATATGAGCATGTGCTCTTTTTATCTATAAATACTAGAGTTGTGAATATGTGATTCATCTCATTCAAGCCTTTACACAATTCTCTCCTTTTTCTTCTTTTTATATTTCTACTCAATCCATAAGTTTGTAAGGAACTAATTAAATCTTCTACCTTAAACGTATCGACATACTTACTTTCCTCAATAGTTGTAACTTTAGACTGACATCTACGTAGCAGTAATCTAAGGATCTAAGGATCTTTCGAACTACTTTGTTCTTTAGAATTTTAACTCCTAGTACATAGGGACCATTAATTATGTCATTGAGTTTAGCATAGTCATCAAATATTTCATTATCTAACATTTTTAAGACTTCCAAACTTTGTAGTGAGCATTTGAAGTTTAGAGATCTCAACAGTTGTTCCTTCATGTATTTTCTCTAGCAAACTCATTAGGTGACAACATTTTAAATAGCATTTAAACCTATAAAGTCAAAAATTGCTTGTTCATAGTCATTCTTTATCCATTCTTAACTAGTTTTGCGAATGACCTACACTCAATATCCTTAACTGGTTGTTCCCATCCATATTCTACCGCTAACCAGACTCGACTTAAACAAGGCTCTCATCCTAATTGGTCTACCTTTGTCTTAGTAGCTTTGAGTCTTAATTCCCAAGACTAGGTCAAGGGTTTGAGACTGGTAGAGAGAGAAGAAAGAAAAAAAAAAAAAGGCTCTCATTATAACGTTCCAATAGCTATAATTTGTTCCGAAAAATAATACAGGCCTAAATAAGAATCCAACTTCCTTAAGGCTATCCATGATCTACCGACTAAATTCAAGCAACCAACTCTGGTTCCAATTGAGAAATATATTAGATCGAACTTTAGGTTCTGATTAAAGCAGCTAAAGGCCTTGATCTAGCCCTAGAAGATGGGGGGGTTCTAGTCTAGTAATGTCCACTTGTGCGTGTAGATATGTTGTTGACGATCATTATATCCAACAACTGATATTTCGACAACTAAATGATCCACTCACCATGATTGATGTATGATGATGGATGCTAAAACAAAATACTAGTAATCACAAGACTTTTAGGATGCTCATAGAGTAACAGTGTGAAAGCTCTAGTATAGTGTGCTTGTTTCTCTATTACGTTTTTTGAACAATTAGACTACTTATATAGAAAATAGGGATAGAATATAATCGGGTTTTAAGTAGTTTAAATGGAAAAGGAAGCTCATAATTTGAACTGCTTGATGGATCAAGCCATATGTCGATCTAACCATAAAAGACCAGTAGGCTTCATTCTGCAGTTCTAATTCTAATTTTGATTTTGTTTCCAAAAATTTAATCCATGACAAAGTATTTTGAAGATTCAATCATGAAAACCTAGTTGTTGCCTGCAAAACCATAATTGGTGTGTGTGCCCATTCGAGTTACATTTATCCTTTATTACCTTTTTTTGTGAAATTCCTTATTTGCCCTTGGACAAGGTTCCACAACTAATTTAAGTAACCAGACAGTCTAAACAAACAAAAAAGTTTTGAACAAAAATTTGCCAATAAGTCATATAACTTAACAAATTTGTAAAGGTCTAAGTAACAACAGACTTTTGTTAATGTAGGATATTGTCAATTGTGTTACCCGAACTCGGAGTACATATGTTGGGTATGGGTATGTGTCCAAGCATTAGATGTATCAATCTCCAATCAGAAGGATACAGGGAGACTGCTAAATATTCGTATTAGTTTAACATAGCGGAAACGATAAAGAACAGGGTTAAACCCTTGAACTCACAAAGAACACACTCACAAGAGAGAAATTGAAATTATATTGATAATGATGATGTCTGTAGACTTACATCTCTTGCCTTTATATAGGCAAGTCAAAAATAAAATAAAAAAAGAAAGTATGCGTGAAATAATATTAAAGGGGAAATTTGAGATTTGATGGAGTAGAATCCTCCTTAAATCTTGCAATGGAGAATAATATCTTCTATTGCTGGCAACTACACCAAATCTCCTTTTGACTTTTCCTTATTTATTTATTTCCTTCTATTCTCCTAAACTTTTCAGCCTCCCTGATTTGCGATGATTCTTTTGACTTTTCCTTATTTAATTTATGGGTAAAGTACAAAGACACCCCCTGAGGTTTGGGGTAAGGACAAGCAGATGAAAGTTTGTCTATTTTTGGACAACCACACCCCCTTGTGAAATTTGTCATCCAAACAGAGCCTTAAAAGATGTGAAAAGTCCATTTTACCCTTCACTATTTTATTAATTTTAATTATAAAATATCAAAATACTTAAATGACCAAATTACCCTTTTCATCTCTATATATATATAAAGGATTTTTCAGTGGGATTGTTCTTGCTGTTCTTTGAAGATTTAATGATTGATGATGAAGGGTTGGGTGATGGCAGGCTATCATAGTGACACAATTCATAAATCCGTGTGCATACCAAACCAAAGTGGTTGAAGGGTTGTATACCAGTTACCAAATCACAAACATACAAATCTATACATACATACATACATACATACATATATATATATATATATAAATTGTTCGAAACCCTAACCCAGTATTTTCTACCTTTAATTGACCTTTATTCCATCCCAAATCAAAGTCAAACTATAGGGTTTTCATTCCAATCTTTTCAAAAAAAAATCTCGAGGTCGTCAATTCGGTGTTTGAATTGCATCAAATGTTGGCCCCAAAGCGGTGCGATAGAGAAGGTGTTGTTTGCGGCGAAGGAGATGAAGCCGAAAACAGTGATGAAACTTTAGCACAGAAATTGCAGAAAACTTCAAGATTACTATTGGAATTTGAAATTGCAGGCTCTTCAGGAAACTTTTCAACTGGTTTAGCACACTGCTTCCCTTCAAGCTCAAAGCTATTACCATGAATTTCGTACTCCTCTTGATTGATTGTGTTCTTAGTAGAACAGCCTTTTACATCATATGCAATATAACCCATTTAAATACCAAAAGCTCGAAACCAAAAGCCTCTTGATCTCCTTTGTCCTGGTCGCCGCAATCCGCCATTTCCGGCAAACAATATATATTATGTGCGTGTGTATGCATTTAAATTTAGATGGATTTTACCCAGTAACCCATTTAAATTTAGGTTTATCAGATGGGTTTTACCCAATAACCCATTTAAATTTATTTGATTCAAGGGTATTTAAGTCAATTGTATTTATCAATTTGATATCAAAGGGTAATAAAGTCAATTCACCATTGTCAGGGTGTCTTTGTCCATTTTATCAAACTTGAGGGGGTGTGATTGTCCAAAAGTAGGACAACTTTCATCTATCTGTCCTTATGCCAAACCTCAGGGGGTGTTAGTGTACTTTACCCTTTATTTATTTCCTTCTATTCTCCTTATCTTTTCAGCCTCCCTGATTTGGGATGATCCTATATGTTCAAATAATCGTGAGCGAGCTGTTCTACATCATAGTTAATATTGTTCGTTTATTTTCTTGATTTAAATAACATTTTTATGTAACATATTGTTTGAAGTAGACTTCTAACTCATTTTTTGAAATGATAATCTAGTAAAATTAAATTACTGGATATGATTTATAAGTTCATGTCAAACCACATATGTGACATCGATTGTCTCATTATAACTCTGACATGTAAAGGTAAACCATAGGAGGCAATTTCTGAAATTTTTTATTCTAATTTATTTTCTCTTTCAAACTTCCTTTCAATGATATTATATATACGCTTTGTATATTAGTGGTAGTTGTGCTGAATGCTTTCTTCTGCTTGCTTTTTGATGCAGTTCATGTGTTGACTGTCAATGCAGGTAAGATCATTGACACTTGATGTGAAAGTATGGGAACCTTCTGTTATAACATTGTTTCAGGCGTTGGGAAACATTTTTGTGAACTCAATATGGGAGGGGCTGTTGCATGCAAGAAGAAGATTTCAGGCAGATGAAATACCAGTAAGGTAAGCATTACATAACTTAAAATGATTGAAATGTATTTTGATTCTGTTCTTAAAAATGTTAGTTCTTGTCATGTAGGTTTTTTGAATCTGATAAACACAGAGAGTTTTTTAACAAACCCAATCATGATGATCATATTTCAATAAAGGAGAAGTTCATTCATGCAAAGGTATGACATCAAATAATTCAGTTCGTCCCTTTTGCTATTTTCTTTTAAATTTTATTCTTAAATGTAATTATTTGCTGAACTCAATTTCTTTACGTTATTTTTTACCCAAGGCTTTGATACGTTAAAGTGCTCTTGTAGTATGTTTGTGTCATTTGGTGTTGATGTCGCTTTAGGCTTCCCAAGTTGATGATCAACACTTTGAATAATTACTTACCATCTAATGCAACATGCTGTATGTTGAAAAATAATATGCTCTCTATTAAAAAAGGATGAACATATGTATGATCTCTCTCCATATGTGTTCTCAATAATGTGTGTTTTAGGTCTATGAGTTTGAGAGCCTTGAGGTGTCTATATAGTGTTTGAGTCCAGCTGAATTAGGGTTTGTGTGTTATAATAAAATAAAATAAAAAAGGAAAAATACCCTTTTAGAATTCTGATTTAAGAATTATAAAAAATATTTTGTGTCCATCGATCAATCGATCAAGTTTTCAATCATGAGCAATTGTCACAACTTCAACCAGTTGACCCTTCAATTGAAGCTCTCTAGTGTGGTTTTGATTGATCAAAACTTGTGATATTTTTTTCCCTTTCTTTATTCCTTTAGGGTTTCTAAAATATAATTATTCCAAAAACATTTATGCGTTCTAAAAAAAAGAAGTTTTGAGTTATGGCTTACTCAAACCGAGAGCCAAGAGCTATATTTATATACAAGAATAGGGTACAAAGAAATGAAACCAAATCAATGAAAAATAGGAAATGTGCCAAAATCTACGTGATCCCATGATTTTGTGGATCTTATCACATGATCCCATGATTACTGGTATGGCATCTGATTTTTCGTTGTACAGTTTATGTTCTGGTAAGGATAAGGTTTGAGTGGCTGATGGCACCTTCACCTCCATTGTGGGGAAGGGCCCTATTTCTGCCTCTCCTAATCTTACCTGATCCTATGTTCTTCATGTCCCAAAGTTTACCAATAACCTCCTTTTTGTCGATCACGTTACGAAAGGCTTTAATTGTACAACTTTTTTTCCATCTCACTGTGTGTTTCAAGAGTTGGACATGGGGAATACGATTGGAAGTGGATGTGAGGACAATGGCTTGTATTTGCTGAACGCGAGGCCAACTTTTATTATGTTGCAAATCAATCTAGTGTTAGAAATAGTAATGTCAATAAAGATCTGTTAATGAGATGGCCTAATAGACTAGGTTTTGAAGCATGTGCTTCCCCAGTTTGTTTCTGTTGAATATTGAGTTAAATTGTGAAACATATGTCTACCAAACAATGTCTTGTTTCTTATCCTACTAGTATTAATAAAAGTACAGCTCCTTGCAGCTTGTTCATTCTGATGTGTGGGGTCCTGAATCTACTACTTCGTTACTTGGTTTTCGCTACTTTGTTGTGTTTGTTGATGACTTTAGTCGTTATACTTGGCTCTATCTTATGAAAACCAAAGATGAAGTTCATTTCATTTTTAAAACATTTCATAAGATGGCATGTACTCAGTTTGGTTGTCCCTTTAAAATCCTTCGATATGATAATGGAGGAGAGTTTATGTATGGTGGTTTTGCCTCCTTTTTTGCTGATAATGGGATTGTCCATCAAACCTCCTGTGCTGATACACTACAATAGAACGGTGTAGCTGAAAGAAAACACCATCATATTACGGAGGTGACCCGTTCTCTTCTAATTGGGATGGGAGTGCCTAAAAGTTATTTGGCTGATGCAACCTTAACAGCTACATACCTTGTCAATCCCATGCCTTCTAAGGTTCTTGGCTATCAATCACCCTTCTCTATCTTACACCATCACACTGCCTTGTTTACTGTCCCTCTGAAAGTTTTTGGTTGTGTTTGTTATGTTCGCATTCATGATCTGTTGCAAAACGTAAGAGAGAAATCTGATAACCCTACACAAAACCAATGGAACAGAACTTGCTCTGATACCAACTAATGCAATCAGCTTATGAAAGAGAGAATTAAATCACTAAGAAGGGAAAACAGAGAGCAAGATTAAGCTAACGAATAGCTTAAACACCCACAACTCAATCCCAAAGAAAGGGAGAGATAAAAAGCTGCTGTAGCAAGCTGATATTATTGATAATACGTGAAAATATTGCTCATTACAACTTGGAACAACCCTTTTATCAGCCACAAGGGATGCCGTAGCAAAGATATAATCCCAGCCCTTCCAATAAATATAATCTAAAGGCTGGTACTCTTTCCAGCAGAATACAGAGCTAAAAATTACAAAACAGACCTAAAACAGTCACATGATTCCTTTTAAAAGGCACATGACTTATAAAATAAAATCAAATGACAATAATATCCTAAGCATGAAATAAAATAGATGAAAGACTTATAAATGGCTCAAGACTAAAAACAATCACATAATCGGACTCATCATCAACTGGCATATTTATTAAAACTCGGTCGCGTCTTCTTAGTGTTCAACTACTTGAAAATAGTCTTCTTCCACTTGCTCTGCATCATTATCGCATGGACAAAATGGACCCTAAGGCAATTCGATATGTCTTTCTTGGATACTCTGCCACTCTGAAAGGGTATCAGTATGTAACGACCCAAATTCGGGGATCCGGATCGCTAATCGGGTCCTTACCCGAACCCGATAATACATAAGGGTACTACGGTCATTTCAAATCAATATAATGATTCTAGAGTTCATAAGGGTATAATTGTTATTTACCATGGTTAAACAATGTTTAAAACCCCAAAAGGGCAAAATAGTCATTTATTACATTAAATTATAACATATAAACTCTTCAGGGGTATAACTGTCAGCTGGGGTCAAACAGTGAATATTGGACCATCTGTGCACACTGTGCACAGATGGTCCATCCTATTGTTTAGATGGCAATTCCAGTGAGGGTGCCAAACTGAGGGATCATCTATGTGCACAGATGAGGGCATCTAATTACACAGATGATGACCATCTGTGTGTACAAATGAAAGTATCCGATTGCATAGATTACCATTTGTGCGCACAGATGAATGCATCCGATCGCACAGATGGTTCCCAGAATCTAATCCAAACGTTAAGATGATCCCATCTCTTTGTTTAGATCATGCACGAAACCCATATGATTGAATAGATCACTTCCCAAACCCATCCATTTGCATCCTAAAGTGAGTAATCAACAATTATAAGTTCATAAACATCATTTAACCCAACAACAACACATGAAATCATCGCAATAAACCATTGATTCATCATTTAAAGGATAAAAGCTTCCATGATTCATTACACACATGTTTCAAAAGAATGATTCATATCCCAAAAGAATAGATTTACAAAACAATAAGGTCTCCATGGAATCATCGCAATAAACCATTGATTCATCATTTAAAGGATAAAAGCTTCCATGATTCATTACACACATGATTCAAAAGAATGATTCATATCCCAAAAGATTAGATTGACAAAACAATATGGCCTCCATGGCCATGATTACAAAAGCTTCACTTGGAGCTAACAAAAGAATAAGGTTAATTTACATGATTTCATTGTGTATGTGATTACAATTCCAAAAGATAACAAAATATATTAACAACTCCTAATCCTACGGGGGTGCTTCTTCTACAATTTCCTTGCCATGTCCTGAAATATTAAATAAGGGGTGAGCACAACGGCTCAGTGGGAAATGCCTAAAGCATTAGCTTTGGGCTCCCTTAAATCAACATACAACGAATAGGTAAAAGAAATAGGGATTATGCATGGGAACATCAAGAAATCATGATCGATACAAGTATGCCACATGCCATGACATGTAATGCTTTCCCGACCATAATCCCGGCCCAACACAACACACACTGAAAACCGCTAACCAACTTTACCGAGGCGAGATTGATTTGCTATCCCTGACTCCAAAACTGGCAGCCATTTGGGGCCTAGTAATCAATGTTACACGTCCAAATTCACCACGCACTCCCTCTAGGTAGAATTAGCCCCGGACTCACGAAATTCAGTTCCTTTCATAAAACTATTTTTCATAACCCTTCTTAAACACATCCCTTAAAACCATTTCAATCTCAATCTCCCAACCATGCTCATGCCATGAATGAAATCATGCATTCTAGAAGTTAATAATCTCATACTTTGCAATTTCTAACAATTTAAAGAACATGCTCATCATCATCATCATTTGTCTATACGTATATTCATGAAATAAGTCACATATATAATGATGCTTTCCAACATCTTAGTAACCAAAACATACATGTAATCAACACCACCTTTGAATATACTTCTTCCATATAGCACACAAGAACTATTTCACTTCAAATTTAACATTTAAAAGGTATAGCATGGGATCAAGAAGAAAAAACTCAATAAGAGACAAAACATGGTACTTTGAACATCCCTACCTCAAATGATGAAACCAAGCTCTTAGATCCCAAACCCGATTTCTCTCTTGAAGAGAAGAACCATCTTCCCTTCTTGCACTTAGCCTAGATCTCAACCCAACTAGATCAAATCTTTGAGAGAAGGGAAAAAAAAAAATATATATATATATATATATATATATATATATATAGAGAGAGAGAGAGAGAGAGAGAGAAAATTGGAGTAAGAGGAAGAGAGTGGGCCGAAATGAGAGAGAAAATGATGAGTGGTGGTTGGTCCAAGCAAGCTTGCCCTTATCCTCTTCTAAAATAAGTGGTTTACATTGGGTCAAAGTCCACTACATCCTCAAATGTCCAAAATAACCTACAACCTCACTAAAACCTCTTATATGCCATAAAATATCTTTCTCCACTAACTAACCACACACACACACACACACACACACATATATATGCAAACACATCAATTCCCAAATAAATAAATAAATGATAATGGAAAAAAATAATACCGAGACCCATATGACATGCAAAACGATGCACAGAAAAATAAATACTGAAAATTCAGAAAAAATCCGGGACATCACACGGTGTTATAACCCTACCACTCGTCGTCGGTTTGTCTCCATGGATGT